TAATGTGTGGTTTTGGGTTTCTGTGTTGTGTTGGATGACTGTGGTTGTTGTGAGTCGCCAGGTATCCATAGTCATTAGCATGTGGTCCTTTCCAAAGAACCACATTACCGAAAGTAAAGGGAAAGGAAGTGTAGTAATTGTGGCTGCCTAGACTTCACACAAGTCAACAATGTCAAATCGGTGAATTACCCCACGAGCACTTTTAGTACAATGTACTACCTAAAACAAAAGAATGTAGTGGCTAGTTTGGGGCAGGATATAGGCAGGGTGGTTTTTTTGGGACACTTTTTGGTGGTACAGGGGGTAATGGATTAATTTATAAGATTCTTGTGGTCTTTGGTGTAAGAAGGTTTCTTTTGGTTCCTTTTCTTGAAATTTTTAGACAGAGTTTAACTGAAATCATGGCTGAAATACACACATTTAGAGGTTGGGTTTTGCCAACATTTATTTTGTATTTGGTGAGGTGATGACTAGTGGTATGTATTTATGGTTAGAACTGGAACTGGGTACCCTACTAAACTAAAACACGAGTACCTGGTACCCATAAAAAAAACACCCACAGCTCCCCAAAATTCAAATCCGGGAAGTTGTCTGAAGGGCTTTAACGCCTTTACCTTGTACTGTGTAAACCTATATTTGCGAGGCATCATCTGTCTCGCTTTAAAATGCCCATTTTTCATTTCAATCATTTCCTGTAAGTGGAGTTCAAAACCTTTCTTATTCATTGTCTGATAAGTTACTTAGTAATTGGTAAAGTTGGTTACAGGTGCCTGATCCCATAATCTGGAACCGATTCCTGACATCAGCGTTTGGGTGCTTGGGTACCCGGTTCCGATGCACACCCTATAGTGATGACCAAGTTTTAGCCTAGAATTGATACCATAATAATGATCATCTTTGGTTCATTTTTGTCCCCCCCCCCCCCCCCTCTCTCTCTCTCTCCCTCTCTCTCTAAACTTGAAACTTCTGAAATTACATGAACAGGTACTACATGTAGTGTTGAGTGTATTCACGTTAGTCTATGGTCTGCACATGTGCCTCAAAGTGAGAGTATCAATAATGTTGGAAGGACTAAATCCAGTCTATGTATATATGCTGCTCTTTTCCTGGATGTGTTGACAGTGTGTATCTAAGGCAGGCGGGGAACCTGTAGGCCGACTGGTTTCCATAATAGAAATCTCCCCATTCATTGTCACCAGTTTACATTCGGTGCTTGTATGGCCAATGATCTTACTATTGATTTGGGGTTTCTATTTGAGTGGAATAAGGCTTTTGTGTACTGTATTTCAAGTCTGTCTGCTTTGTATTGACATACAAAGATTGATTTATATCATATAGATAGTGTGTGTACAATCATTTATTGTATAGATCTTTGAATTTAGAACTAAACTTTTAGTGGTCTATATTTACCAGTATACATGTATATGAACTCATAAAATTACTTCTGTTTGTGAATTGCATGTGATGCAAGCAAGTTTGTTGAAGTTTATATTATAGTTTTGAGGCCAAAAAAATATAATGAAAAAATTGTCTACATATTTTTTGCATTTTAGTTATTTATTTCTGCAGTGGAAAATATTCACCCTTATTCAGAGAGCCTTTTAAAAAAAAGCCGACAATATGAAAAATTTCAGAAAAAAATTCCAGTCGGTCATCTTTTAATTAAAAAAAAATAAGCAATGATGTACTGTTGTATGTAAGTGTGCATATAAGTTAAGTATTACAAAAATACTAAATAGCTCTTGTATGGATTGTGTAATGGGTGATTTGATTGTTTTTCTCCACATGTACTTAAATTCAAATTTTACTGTGTAGTACGTTCTAGCCCCTCAGGTGTCAAAATGAGGTGTGTTAAAATCATCAACTCATAACTGACGTGCAAGTTGCTGTAGACACAAAAACCGTGTCAATTTTATCCAACATTTACAGTACTAATGTACATGTAAACAGGCCATGTTGAAAATAGATCTTTGGCACTTACGGTACATGTAACTTGTAAGTGACTACAGGTACTGGTTTACAATTACATGTACAGTGCACATGTACGTTCTTGAAGAGCTCTCCAATTATGTTATTGATTTTCATAAGGTCACTGATTTCAATGGGTCTTAATTTCTAGTCTGGCTCTTGAGTGATGCAGTGTACACAAGCACAAGTGGTTTTACATTCACGTGTGCTTGGTATGGTTACTGGACATGTTATGCATGTTTACATGTCGGTCACAACATCACGTTACCATGCCAAAAACAATACATGTACATGCATGTAAAAAATTATATGAATCCGTAATGTCCCCTTAAATTTGATTCTTAAGATATATAATGCAACATTCACAGTAAACTTGGTCAAAAACTTATTTGTAGAGTTTGTAAGTTTCTCAGACTCTTTTCAATGTACATTGTACATTCATTTATATAATGTGTACAAAGTAATTTGCAGGAATAGTCACATACATGTACATGTAAAAATGTACATGTACATGTTATCACACTATACACGTAAATGTATGTACATGTATACACTTGCTACATTTTTTAAAACTCTGCAGTTTATACAATGTAGAGTTTTTTTTTCAATTTAATATTTCATACTTCATTACATGCTTACAGTTAACACAAATTTCAAATTAGCAGCCCTTTAATTGGTTTTGATGTTTTAATTTGAAATTTGCCTGCACATTTTATCTGTCTGAAATGCTTTGGGTAAAAAAAAAACAGGAATGTACACGTACACATATATATACACGTACATGTAGAATCCATACTGGTACAAGTTTTGTTCATGTGTGTTGTACCATGGAGAAAATGGTTGTACATGTACATGTACATTGTAAAATCTTCAACCACACACCCTCTTTTGTTCTACCCCAGACATGAACTAATAATCTAATGCTCGACCATGCAAGAAGTTGTACATCTGTACAGCGTGTTCGTCACGCAACGTCAGAAATCTGCAGCTGTCGTCAATTAAATGATGCGACGGTACTAGCCGGTCTTCTGTTCATCAAGGGCCTAACATATGTAACATCAATTGATCATTAGGACCAGTTAATTGTGCGTTTCGTTGTCTGATAACTCTTTTTAATGATGGGTCGCGACTGATCTGAAAGGTCACTCAAGGTCGCTTAAATAAGACAAAATAGGATCAGTGCTGGAATACTTGAAAACATACCTTCCTATTTTAAGTTTTATGAGAAAATTCTTGCTCAAAGTGAATATAAGACTAGTACCAAATACCCTGGATTTTTTTTTATATATAGTTTTTTGCATGCTTTAGCAATGGAATCCAGTTACTAAATTGTGTTTTCTCTATTTTCTAGGGCTGTTTATTTTCGAATAATTTAGTATTTGATTGTTTGAAACTGACCAAATATTTGAATATTCGAAACTCGCCGATCAAGTTTAACACACGCCAGCCGCAGCTGCCTTTCTTGTTGGTCAAACATTGCATACAAAGCGCGCCAGTTAAAATTTGCATGCGGGGACGGATATTATTGGCCCCTGGAGTGTTTTGCAGTAAAGACTCCATTTAACTGTCAAGGGAGTTTACCATCTATGAGAATGGGACCGATAAACAAGCATTGACAAAAAAGTTGCCGTCGACAAAAAAGTAGCATCCGACAATACAAACGCAAATTTACGATTAAAATGACACCACAGTCATGTACGCATACATGGTTTTTGCTTTTCAAATATTCAAACTGGCAAAAAACTATTCGAATATTCCGTTGATGATCGAATATCCAGTATATTATTTGATGCATCTTTCTTAAGATTTTGAGCAATTTTGTTGCTTCAAACGAAAAAAAAAGATGGACTTTTTTAGTAGCATTAAGCACCGATTTGGGACTACTAGACACGTACATAAGTGTAGCCTGTTTTTGTTCAATCCACAATGCATGTACATTGGATAAATTGCACAATATGTTGGATGATATTATATTTTTGCTGCTTTGTCATGTGCTTTTTTTTGCTGACAGTTTTACAGAGGATTCCTCTCTTAAGTATTGTAAAAGGCTTTACATGTGAATAAGAAAAATGAATAAAAAACACTTTGTCAAAAATAAATCTGATTATATTTTTACAATGCATTTTAGAAAGCTGTTAGGGCTCCACATCGCCTGTGCACATTGAATACAACGCTTCTTTAAAAAATGAAGTCAGCCCAAGGTTATGCGTAATGCATCACATCCCAACGATGTCATGCATCCAGGAATAATGATAATAATGCAGGGACCCATAGGGACTTGCCAGGAATAGCAGGCATCGTTTCATTTGCCTTCGTTCTGATGCTGAGCACACTTCGCTGCCAGAAGAGGGCAGTACAGCTTAGGCTATGTCAAAATATGAAATTGATTGGCTCAATGCTGTTCTGGTACAATTTTCAAAACATGTCACACAATTGTACAGATGTTCTCTTTTAACATGTGTATCCAGATTTGTCATGATGTTCTTGTTGTCTGGTTTCCTGACCCTATGCTGCAGACGAAACGGGACAATTTATAGACGTCAGGGAATTGTGGGGTCAGGGAACCAGACTACCGGTAGTTGGCTATTAAAATGCCCATTTATAGGTATGTTATGCAAACAAAATGTGGACTTACTAAATTTGGTCAATTGGGGTAGTAGTTGAAAAAAAGGCCGTTTTTTTCCAACGATGTTTGACTGAACCATTGTTGGAAGATGATGCAAAAGTCCACTTTTTTTTTAAATGACCGCATACCAGGCGCAGTGATTTCACACTATAGACTATTAGTTACATGTACGTACATTCCAGTAAGGTATTTGATACTTATTTGGTAGTTTCATTTTTTAATGTTGGCAATTGTACATGTACATACCACTGTACAACATTTGGACAGTGTAATGTACATTTGGACATCAAGGCGTTTTACCCAATACATACATGCACACCATTAATTAAGTCAAATTTCAATTTTTTTTTTCATTAATATTTTCAGCTTTTTTTCTTAACTCTTGGTATTTTTCTTTTGACTGCAGGAACCCATGAAATCCAGAGCACCCCAGCTTCATCTAGAATACAGATTTTACAAGATGCTGGGACAAGCAGGTTGGTGCATGTCTACTTTCTTCATTTCAAAAATAATCTTTTTTTTTTCTGAAGGGCCTTTTATACATTTTGTATTTCGTCTTGTCTTATTATGACTCAATTTTTTCCCCAAAAGAAAGTTAAATGATGAATTTCTGAGGACCTGTTGTTTGTATCTTTTGTTACATGAAGGATAATGCTTAAGTTTTTAATGTGGGTTGGTGTTGAAAAATGGGAGTTCTATTTGTTGGGGGAAACAAAAGAAATTCCATGGTTCTGCAAGTCCATTGTCCTACACAAGGTTGCTCTCGGCAGGTTGTCAGTTCTTCATTGAATATTCACCCCCAAGTGAAAACATTAAGCTACATATTGATGGCCCAGTTTCAAACCCCCAGACTCATGCCATCATATCAGTTACCCTGGTATGGCTGGCTGGCACATCATGCTGGGCACAAACACAAATTTACCAAATCAAATCATATTTGTTGAAGAGCGCAGGGAAATGCAACTTTAACCCTAACCCTCCTTAATCCTCCAAAATCCTCAAGGCGGATTGTGGAGGATTTTGGAGGATTGAGGCTGAATGGCAAAAAACGTCGGTTGATTTTGGAGGATGCATTATGTCAAGTTCGTAGGGATGCAACCTTGCAAATAAATTCCCATAGACACTAGTGCTAAATACCCATACTTCAAAATTCTTTTAAAAATACTCAGAACTCTCACAGGTATTCAAGCTGCACAGAAAAATGATGATCAACATTTCATCTTTCGTTTTCTTTTCATTTTTTGGTGGGTTGACCATTGACTTTTCGAGATATTCTCACCCAAAGAAGACGACCTCTATTTTCCCCAAAGTGGAAAAGTAGCCATCTTGAAAAACGATCCCTCCACAACATGGCAAAATAGCGCCACTTTTGAGCCCAATAGCATCCAAAATGCTCAGAATTGGAAGCCCCAAGTCCGGGCCAGAGGTTCATTACCATATCTCTTCAATTCCCCAAGTTTACGGCGCTCAGAACTCTCTAATATAGAATATTTTGAGGGTATAACTTTTATTCATGAGCTCGGCGGACGGATTTAGGCCTATTTACCGGTGTGCACCGGTAGGCTGTACCTGACATTGTTTATGTTTGAACAGTCTTGCATAAATGAGGCCTTCATTATGCTCGACATCATCCGCACTGCTTCTGAATGTCACCCGGCACTGCCTCAACCCAAATAACAGTGATTGTTGGAGGATTGAGGCAATGGTCACCTCCACTGAACAAATTCAAGAAATAACGGATGATTTTGGGCGATTGAGGCTGAATCCAATTTTTACATGCTGGCAATTGGAGGATTCTGCAGGATTGAGGATGCTTCCTAGCCATAAGGGCCTTGGGGGGCTAGCGTTAAAATTAAGCATACTTTTTTCTGAGTAATTCCCTTTTTGAGTTATTCAGTCATTGTGCAGTATTTGCCAAAGCTCCTGTAATGGGCAGTTTTCCCTTTTGGCCTTGCCTATACACGTAGGTTTCGATCGTTAAACACTGTGCGGTGACGCTGTGTGCCCTGGTGACGACGCCATGTGCCCATGTCACTTTCTCAGTGCACATATCTTATTTAGTGCGTGGCAAGACATGCCAAGTGTCAGACAGTGCCCCGAGTATTACAAGTCTCTCGGCGGAAATCATAAATATTGCAGGGCGCAGGCTGCAAATAAATCAGCAATTTGTGTGGATGGAATTTTGATTAATTCATTTCATCGCCGGGACACAATAAGTCCTGACAGTGATATGAAAAAGTAAAATTGTGCCCACATTTTTACACGTGTAGGATTTTTTCTACTTGAAACTTGTTTGGTCGTGACACACTGTGTAAAATTTTTATAAGTACATGTACATCATATTAGAAAAAAAGCTGACAAGAAAAGAAACAAACATTGTCATTTCCGGAAGTGCGAGGGAGAAAATACATAACAATGACTTGACTTGTGTATGTATTTCAAACTATAATCCGCGTGATACAATGTAATGTACCGGTACATGTACATGTCGGAACTTAAAAATGTTGGTGAAATTTAGGCCAAAAGAAATAGTTCCGCTTCTGATTACATGCCATTCCAAAATAGGGTAGGTAGGTAGGGATTTTTTTTGGGGGGGGGGGTGCAATTTTTGTGTGTGTACGATCATGTGGTGGCGTCTGTGTGTAGTCAAGGGTAAAAGGTAGCAATTGATTGTTTTGGGTGTTTTCCCCTCATTTTTCCCATTAAAAAAATAGGGTAGGGGCTGTCAGAATAGGGTACATAAATGTAGTAGGGAAACCTGAAGCAGAACTTTTTTTTTTACCTTACACGTAAGTAGCTTGTGGACATAATGCATAATAGCATGAGGATACATTCAGTGTACATGTGTATGTACCTGTACATGTACGTTTATATTTAATTGTGCGTTGTTTTGAAATTTCTTTTTCAAAAAACATAAAACCTCCTTGAAACTGAAAGTACCGTATTTAAAATTGATGATTGGGAATGAAACACATCATTGTCAGTGTACTTTTAATGGAAATAGTACATGTATCTGTTTGTACATGTACAATGCATCGGGTGATTTCATCATGTGATTTCATGCATCATGTGATTTCACAAAAAACAATGTATACAGTTTCACTGTGTATGAAGAGATAAACATCACGTGCATGAGTATATTTATTTATCAAATGATTTTTATTATTGTAAGTTTATTAGTATTTCAAGATCGCCCCATCAATTATCTTTTTTTTCTCGGGCCCTTTCTGAATTAAACAAGGCAGAGAATACATTATTATGTGGCCCTTTGTTAAAAAAAAATTCTCCGAGTCCTAATCAAATTTTCAGAAAGGTCATTGAGAAGTTGTTGGTCTCGTAACTGGATTCTGTTGCTAACGCACAGAAAACGCAGGCACACTTAAAAAAAAAACACACCTTCAATATTCAAATTAGGTTTTGCCCTTCACCGACGTATAAACACTGTACTCAGTGTGTTACCTCCCAAGTGAAAGTTGGAAAAAAATCACTCGAACCCACAACCTCCTGCTTTCCAGTACAGATGTCTTACCACTTGACCACTGAGCTAACGGGATCGGTTGGCTGGTTCGAATCTGATGTACATACATGCAGCAGCAATGATTGTTCAATGATTGTTTTCTTTGGAATTATACCGTTTCAGGCAGAATAATTTCAGACCTTGTACCCGTCGTTACTTTAAGCAAGGTTTTAGTCATGAAATACGGTAGGAAGATCCATTTCTGGTTACTTACACATGTTCCTACATTTGTACATGTACGTGCCTTTAAAATAAAACACATGAATTGATTCCTAACATACCCCAAAATTAAATTAGTCACATGTCGAAAAGATTATAACCTTGGAGGGCAACTCATCAATACAGTTGTATCTAAGACAGCTTACCCATTCCTATTGGTCAAGAAATGTCACGTGGGTGGTTTTCAGCGGTTGAAAAAACACGGACTGGTTTTAAACACTTTTTTCGGGTGTCGCATGAAATTTGGACTCCTATGAATTTGGTCCCTATTACTCTTTCATTGGTTGAAACCTCACACGTGACCGTTCACTCTCCACACTATCTTCACTTACCGGTAGGCATGCATGCACAATACTACCCATGTGTCTGTATTTCATAGTCCTAAATGCACACTACACTGGCACCGCTGCATTCTGCACCACATCGTAAAGTACCGGTACGTGCCACATGCGCGCCAATCTCTGTTTTAAAAGGAGATTTTAGTACTACTCACGCAAGGCACCGTGAACATAGCTACTGGTAGAGGGGTGTTTCACAAAACATGAAGTAAAATTGTTGAACAGAATTGTTGGAAATTTCTAATTTTTGACTTGCTTTGACTTTGTGACCAAAAGTATGGCTGGGTCCTGGTTGCCAGCGATAATGGCCCGGGCCGAAGGCGAGAGCCTTCATCCGCGTCCGGGCCGCTAGCTAGTTATAACGTAATTTGTACTGGCCAAGCACATATTTAGGCCTACATGTTTGTACTGCAACCTAACTACATTGTAGATCGGTCAAATGTACTGGGACATGTTCATGAACATGTACATCAAATCGAAATTGAATGACGAAACCTTTAATCACGTGTGCAAGTGTTTATTTATCACAGGTGTTTATTAGTGTGGCTCTTTGACATTTACTGATCACCCTGGGAAGCGAGACTTCCACTTAGCCCTGTATTATTTCCTGTTGCCCACACGGAGCCTAAACAAACTCAGGTTCAAAGTAAAACAAGGGAGATGATGATAAAAACAACAGACTGGACTTTTCAAGTGTTAATTGTGCTTGTATAGGGATTACTCGTTATGGCCTCAGCGTGTGTTAAAGGATACTGTACCCAAGTTGTACAAGTACATGTCATGTACATGTACATGTACCTGTATGTACATGTATGTAGTACCATATATGGGTCATTCTATAAATTTGGGGTCCACTTTTTTGCCTGTCCCTGTTATACATATGTATGATGTTGTAATTCTGATGCACTCCTAGATGTAGTCGTCATCCAAGAGTGATTACGAATGTTAGCAAACTACCTACCCAACAAATAAGAAATTGTTTGAAGTCATTCTTAATGATACATGTACTTGAATGGCAAATTACAAAATACTAAGGTAACAGGGACAGGTAAAATGTCACAAAGGAAGCACACTTTTATTTCAGATTATTTTTCTTAAAATTGTGTGTGTGCTTGTTTTTTTTGTGTTGTATTTTTCCCCCTTATTTTATTGGGTTTTTTTTGCTGAATTTTAGTGTAATTTTTATTTATTTATGTACATGTACATGTGTGACATGAATAAATTGTCATGTGGTCACAGATTGACACATCGATACTTCATTCTCAACCCTAATCCTTCTAAATCCCTCAAAATCCATTGACCAAAGTGGTTTTTGAAGAATTTGTAGGATTGAGGAAGGTAGAGGCAAGGTGTTATTTACACAGACTCATTCAAGTCAATACAAAGAATCTGCCGCTGCTTT